TACCACTACAATCCACCCCCCCCATTTTCATCGTCGACCCGACGATGCTCCTAACAGAGCGTGTCTCTAAGACCATGGTCTAAAGAAAGCAGACACAGCATTCGACTGAACGGCTGAGGACACAGCCTGAGACACCTCGTGGGCAGGCCTGGGTAGATGATGGAGATTTGAGTGTTGGCCAGCTGTAGGTCGGGCCGTCCGTCGTCTGACAGCTTCATCTCTCCTTAGAGGAGGGATTGTTAAGGGAGCAGCACCGACAGAAGGTGGCTGCACTGTCAAGTGGGCAGGAAGCACAGAGGATGACGATGGCGTACAAAGCACAGCAGTGTCACTACTCCCAGAAGAAGGAGCGGCCAAGGGGGCTGAAAGAGCTGAGGGCGAACGAACTGTCGAGGCAACAGGTGTTGCCGATGCTGGGGCCTGTTGAACTACAACAGGATGCCCAGCTGGTGGGGGGATGGTGTCCCTCACCAGAACCATCAAGTCCTCGTCATCAGATGAGCTCTCAGCCGCTGCAGGCCGGTCAAGGGAAATGGGAAGGGGAGCAGGGGTGTCGCCTGAAGCAGCCACCCCGACTATGGCTTTAAGCAGCGTTCGGTGCACCCGTTTGACCTTGGCAGGGTCGTCCTCTGGGGCAACTGTATACACTGCACCGTTGCCGGGGGGAGCTTTGATCACCTGATGCACTACAGGATTCCACCTGTCCTGGATCTTATGACGACCTTTCCAACCAAACTCCTTTAAAAACACTGCCTGTCCCACCACAAGCGGCTGTGACCGGATGGACTGATCATGATTTTCTTTCCGACGTTGGGCTGCCTCCTTCAGCCTGTCCCGGACACCCTCGAAAGCCAAGTGTAACCGGGTCTGATGCTCCCGGACCCAATCATTCACTGTCCCATCGACAGGATCCCGCACTCTTCCCAGCAAGAAATCAACAGGGAGCCTTGCCTCCCGACCAAACATGAGGAAAAACGGGGATTCCCCAGTGGATTGATGCGGTGTGGTGTTGTAAGCGTGTAGTAGTTGTGGTAGACAAGAGTGCCAATCATGCTTTCGGGAGGTTGGCAAAGTGCGCAACAAGTCATGAAGAGTGCGGTTAAAATGCTCACACTGACTGTTACCTGCAGGATGATACGGTGTGGTGCGGGATTTTTCAATGTTGTACAGATTGCACAGCTGTTGAATGAGCGCACTTTCGAAATTGCGACCCTGATCGGAATGAATGCGTGCTATTCCCACCCGCGCCACCGTAGAGGCACGCTGGTCACGGGTGGGAATAGCAAAGGTGTACTTGCTAAAAACATCCGTCAGCACAAGGATGTTCTCCAGCCCATTATGGGTTGGTTCGAGCATGGTGAAATCCATCGCCAGGATTTCATTAGGCTCCGAAGCAAGCAAGTGTCCCATGAAGCTGCGAACTGGTGGCCCGGCGTCCTTAGCCAATTGGCACCGCTCACACGTTTGACACCAACGCTTGACATCGGACGACATCCCCAGCCAATAGCACCGCTGCCTGAGCAGTGCTAAAGTCCTGCCCACCCCCTGGTGGCCGTGATTTTGATGGACCTCCATGAGGACTTTATCCTTAAGTGCAGCTGGCAACAGCACCTGGAGAACCACTTCTCCCCCATCAGGGTGAGAGACTTGCCGGTACACCACTCTGGCCCGCTCAGTCAACCGCTCCCACTGTTTGAGAAGCACCAAAGCTGATGGGGATAACTGCTTGCGTTCTTCGTTTCTGCTGCCAAAACCCAAAGATTTCCTGGGTCACGGGATCGGCACACTGAAGTTCCCCAATGTCTGCCGGCAAATACTGCGGCAGGGCCTGGACAGCAGCCTGACAGGCTACAGGTCCTCTGACCTGGAGGGCATGTTTCAAGGGCTGAGGAAGTGATGTGCCGGAGACAAATGTCTCAAGATCTACAGCTCTTGGTGGGTGCAAGCGAGACAGCGCGTCCGCATTTGTGTTACTCTTGCCAGGGCGGTAACGAATCTCAAAATCGAACGACGCAAGTTGGGCTGCCCAACGTTGCTCAAGGGCTCCAAGTTTAGCCGAGGACAGGTGGCTAAGCGGATTATTGTCTGTGAAGACAATGCCTTTGTGACCAAGCAAGTACTCACGAAATTTGCCCGTCATAGCCCACTTCAACGCCAAGAACTCCAGCTTCATGGAGCTGTAATTGGCTGGATTTCGCTCTGTCGGTCTCAGACTTCGGCTGGCAAATGCTATAGGTCTGACCTTTCCTTCCTGCTCTTGCGAGAGCACGGCACCTAGGCCTCCGTGGCTTGCGTCGACTTCCAAGATGAATGGGAGGGAAAAGTCGGCATATGCAAGGACCGGAGCTGTGGTAAGCTTGGATTTTAAAGCGTCAAAACTCTGCTGATGTCCTTCGGTCCATTTTGCCAAAACTTGCTGTTCTGACCGTCTAGACTTGGACCCCACCAGATCAGCGACAAGGCGATGTAGAGGGGCAGCCAACTTGGCGAAGCCCTCCACAAAACGGCGGTAGTAACTAGCAAATCCAAGGAAGGACCGCAGGGCCAAGATGGTGGTGGGAGGCTGCCAGTTGGCTACCACTTCAACCTTGCTTGGGTCAGTGGAAACACCCTCGGCCGAAATGACGTGGCCCAAATAACCCACTTCTTTTCGGAAGAACGAGCACTTTGACAACTTTGCCTTCAGACCTTCATGCTGTAACCGCTGCAGCACCACTTCCAGTCTCTCAAGATGTTGTCGAAAGGTAGAGGAAAAAACCACAATGTCATCCAGATACAATAGCAACGACTGACATTGTTGATCTCCAAAGACCCGCTGCATGAGTCGCTGAAAAGTGCTGGGTGCATTCCACAACCCAAAGGGCATACGGTTAAACTCGAACAGTCCGAAGGGAGTACAGAATGCCGTCTTGGGTCGGTCAGCCTCGGCCACCGGAACCTGATTGTACCCGCTGGCTAAATCCATAGTGGAGAACCAGCGGGCTCCAGTGAGTGCATCCAGTGATTCCTCAATCCGAGGGAGAGGGAATGCGTCCTTTCTAGTCCTGTTGTTAAGCTGTCGGTAGTCTACGCACAGGCGTAAGCTACCGTCCTTCTTCTTAACCAGAACAATCGGTGAAGCAAACGGACTGCAACTCTCCCGGATGACCTGCGCACCCAGCAGCTGGTTGATGTGTTCCTTGACCACTTCGTACTCCGACGGTGGGATACGCCGGTAACGCTGACGGATGGGAGTGTCGTCAAGAAGTGGGATCTCATGCGTTATTAAGTTGGTGCAACCCAGGTCGCCATCGTGAGAAGAAAAGACTGAAGCATACTTCCAGAGAAGGAGTTTGGCTTCCTTTTGTTCCTCAGCTGACAGAGCAGACAGATCAATCGCATCCATTTGATCCTGCAGCGTAGGAACCGCAGCCTGGGATGCAATGGTGGCCAGGTAAGATGGAACCTCCGTAACACCAGAAGTTGAGCTCACCACACAAACCTCACGCAAAGCACCAACCTCTGTATGGGGGTAAAGCAACACATCAGAAGTGCCCACATTTACAATGGGTATGTACACAGTACCTCCCTCAACTTTAACCAGTGCTGGAGACGCCAGCAGCCCAGCAGGAAGGCCCCGCTCCAAGGGCTCAAAAAGCACAGAAGTCCCAGAGTGCTGGGCGGAACAGGTGGCTGGAACAAGCTGCATAGTGCCACCAAAAATACGGCAAGCTTTCTTGCCTCGCAGCTTGACCTTGCCAATGAAATCAGAAGGGGAAGTCAGAGAGGCTTGATGACATCTCTGCAATGCCTGAACCACAGACTGTGGTGCTTCAGTAACGGTGGGAAGATCGAACATGGCAGAGCCATGTTGCCCAAACAAGGTACGATAGCATCGTCGTAAGATGTTCATCCCTAAGACACCCTTGGCATGAGGAGATGCATCGGCTGGAGGGTCCTTGACAACCAGTATTCCACACCCTGGCAAAGTCCTACCACAGAGCTCGACATCAAGCTCCAAGTAGCCAAGGTATGGTATGGGCAATCCATTGGCGGCTTGAAGCTGAAGCCAATGTCAAGACTGGAGTTTCTCTTGGTCCCAAGTCCCAAAATGTTGCCGGAAAAAGCTTTCCCTGACCGTGGACACCATAGACCCAGTGTCCACCAAGCAAGGAACCTTTACTCCGCCCATAACCACATTCGTGTGTGGACAAGTGCCGACTAGCTTAGCTTCTCCCTCACCCCCCAACATGACTGGTGAGCCAGTGGCAGCTCCCCCCGAACTTTGGTTCCGCAGTTCGACGGGCGCTAGTTTTCCGAATGCTGACCTGTATCTTGCCGAGCGGCTGGCCGCCTGGAAGGAGAAGGTGGAAGAGGGGCATGGCCCCGTCTGCACTCCCTGGCGAAATGGCCAGGCTGCTGACACCGCCGGCAAATTACTGGACCACGGTAAGGAGGATGGTTACGCTGCTGATTGATCGGCAGCTGAGCAAGAGCTTCTGTGAGACGATTAAGCTGTTCCTGTTGGAGCTTCAGCATCTGTTTCACCTCCTGCAATTCTGCAGCCTGGGGTGGACTAGCCACTTAAGGAGCAGTCTGGACACCACACTGCAAGCCCATCATCAAAGGAACTGAGTGGCTTCGGCCCCGCACACCCCCTGGCAATCCCTCTCGCTCCCACCTAATTGCCTCCACCCTAGCCTCCAGCAGGGAGACAGTAGGCTGCCTACGTACGAGTTGTTTTAGTTCTTGGCGAAGGGAACCATCGATGACGTTTTCAATAAACTGATCGCGCAGCAAGACGTCTGCATTTGGCATCTCGCTTGGAGCGCTTTGTTTCACCGCAGACATCAAACCCATCAACGCAAGGGAGAACTCTTGAAGGGTCTCCCCATCTTGCTGTCGCCTTTAGTAAAACGCCTCTTGCAAAGCAACGTACTAATCAGAACAACCATACAGCTCTCGCAAAACCGCAATAATTTTAGCTGGATCACTTCTATCTGCAGTCGAGCGATATTTTATTTCTTCACGCGCCTCTCCCTCTAAATGGTCTTAAAGAAAGTACGCTTGATCGAACGGGGACAGGTGGCGTGCCCTCATGCAAGCTTGAGCTTCCTCAATCCACTCTTCTAGCCCTATACCTGATCTACCCCTAAACACTGGGCACTTCCTATCTCGGGGTACAAGGACCAGTCGCTCTGTGACAGGAGTGGTAGAAGTGGATGATGCTGGGAGATGTTCAGCAGGAATGGTAGGTGCAGCACTAGGACCAGGCACGGTCGCAGCCTGCTCCTGCTGCAACCTGACATTCTCCGCCCTCAGTTGTGCCACCAAATCCCTCAACTCTTGTAGCTCTCCCTCCATTTTCTGCAACTACGCTATGAGTACCGCTGCTACAAAAAAAACACAATGGACCCCCCCGCTGGTTCGCCTTAAGCTGCTGCTTATTCACACACAAACAATCACACAGGCAATCTGAAAACCCAAAAGACAAAGAGGAAGGAAAAAAAACAGAACACACGTCTCCGTCTCCACTGAGTTGATCCTGCCGACAACGCCAGATTTGTGGCAACACGAGGGGGTGATTATTAATTTATATAGTAGGGGATCTCTTTACCGACAACGCCACCTTGGGGTAGGGCCCAAGGACCCATATTAAAGGTGAACTATCACCAGAAAGACACTCAGGTTCGTTCGTTCAGGCAGGCAGGAGACGGAGTTCAATGATCATAAAAAAATATTTTATTAATTAAAACAACAGGGTTTGGCACAATAACCAAAAAAAGGAGAAGAGAGCCCAACTAGGGGATACAGACTGAGGCTTACCGGCTGGAGGAGGGGGTGACAAGGGGGAGTGAAGTCCAAAAAGAAAAGGGAGAGCACCCCAAACACACAGCAAAAACGTGAAGTGCACACAAAGCAAATCTTGAACAGGGGTCACACAGCACACAGGGGATCACCACCACCCAGGGAAACCACCACCACCACCGTCGGCCTTCAGCTGTAGGGGAAAAAGGAGAGACATAGTCAAGGCTCAAGTATAAAAAAAGAAAACAAACAATATCCCATAACATAAGGAAACAAATTGTAATGGATTAATAAACTGACAAATATGGATTTAGATCAATAATAAATCAACCAAACAAAAGAAACACAAAGGAAACTAAGGAGTCTCTGGCCAGAGATATCAACTCAACAGTTAATCATCATAACTGATATACACAAATAACTGAGGACTCAAACTGAGGAGTTCCCCTCCCAAATGAAACTTAATTACAATAAGTTCCCCAAAACAAAACAAGGAACTAAACTAAGAAATTCAAGGAAATCGACCAATGATTAAATAAGAAAATAAACAAAACAATTAAGCCAAACCTTGATTAACACTCACACATACACACACACACACACACACACACACACACACAGCCCAGTCCAGATGGGTGCTGAAAGTCCTGATTGAGCTCGTGGCGTCCCACTGATCGGAAGCCCGGTCAGCACGAGCAGCAGCCACACGCATCCAGCAGCACCACACCCGCAGAAGCAGGAGAGCAAGCCGACAGCAGGAAGCAGGTTGACACACACGCAGCCGACGGGAAGCCCAGTCCAAGCCGGCGAAGCAGCAGCAACAGCGAAGCAGCGATAGCCGCAGTAACAGTAGTAGCAGTGGTAGCAGCGGCAGCAGTAGCCGTGGCTAAAAGACCATAATTAAACAGCAATGCTCCTACTTAGCTTAGCGTTTGTGTGTTCTGGTGGCCAGCTGGGTAGAACCGGCGTCCGCCCAAAGAGGGAGAGGGGTGAAGAGAGTCACTGCGGCAGGGGAAGGCAGCCACTGCGTATCCCCCGTGCAGCAGGCTACGCTCCGGTCGGCAGCGATAGACCACCCTGGATAATCGCCTCGACTGCAGGTGAGACGCCAGACCTAATGAAAAGGTTACGGTTTCAGATACATAACACGCAGCCGAATATAAATACAATGCTAAGGTGTGCATACCTGTATTCTGCAGCGAGCGGCGAGTGCAACGACCTGGAAGTGGGCGGGGCGAAGAGGCAGGAAGCAAGAGGTCAGGAGGAGGGACACGGCCTTCCTTTATCCCCTTCGCCTGTGATAGGCTAATAGCCCAGAAAGGGCGTGGTGAAGCCACGACTTGCGTTCAGTGTGGCAGTGGTATCTCATACCACTACACTAACATAAGAAGTCATAATTCTGATATGAAAAGTCAATGCTATGAGATAAAAATGTCACAATTCTGAAATAATAAGTAAATTCTGAGATCTACAATAAAATTCTGAAATGAAGTCAGTAAAACATTAATTATAACCTAAAAAAGCAATAACTAAGATACAAAGTCAAAATACTGTGATGAAATTCATAAATCAGAAGAAGTCATAATTCTGAGGAAAAAAATTATACACATTTATTGTATGTATTATATTGGTTTCAACACTGATATTATTTGCGTGTAATAATAATGTCCAGTGGTTGGACAGGGGTGGTGAATTCTGACTTGGTTTCTCTGGGGACTCACAACTCCTAAAGGCTGAGAACTACTGATAAATCCAGTGAAAGCATGGGATGACATAAGGTATATAATACAGTATGTACAGATGTAAACTGTATTGACACTAATAAAATATGTGTTATGACTTCAAGCAAGATAGTCAAGTTGAGTTCAGTTTAGAGGGGAAGGTAGGTCAATAAATGAGTTACTATCATAATACAGTAGCACAAGATGTTGCTGAAAAAAACGAGTTTTAATTTGAATATATTGTACCTCCAGTAGCATACAGTTTCTGTGATAATGTTGTTTCTGGGATGCATGTAACAGCATAGCTGGTAATCTCCATTGACGTGCTGTATCTTTTATGCTTAACAGCTTGAGTAGAGTCATGCTGATGGCCAACATTGTGGTTGTGATCAATAACACTCATTTGGATTTGTGCCTGCATGGTGATGTCTCTGCGTACTTCAGCATAGAGCTGTGGAACACTTCAAGGTCCCCTAAATAAAAAGGAAGATTTCATTTAGACATTTTCAACTCTATATATCTGTAACAAAGCCTCACAATATTACATTTCATTTCTAATGCTTTGAGGGAAAAAGTACATATTTTTTTAACTTGTACATTTGCAGAATCACTTTTGTTTTCGCAAAGAACAGGTGAAGCATCACATTATCCATGTTTCTCTAAGTGGTGTTCTGATTCACTGATGTCATCTTCTTCAGTCAATAGTCACTGAGCCTCAATATATAAGTGTGAAATTTAGGGATATATGCAGTCAACCTAATGCTCATGAGCTTATCCAAACTTACCTGTGTGTTTGAACAAAGTCATTTGACTTAGGTCTCTCAGGAGATTTTTATCTAGTACAACAGCCTTGAGAGCGTTGCAGGCAGCACACCCCTTCTCCAGCCATTTCTTCCTTCTTTGTTGCTCATCACTGTGGTCATCATGGTAACATTTGTACTCCTGCCCATCATCTTCCCAGCGGTGGATACCACATACATCATACAGGATAGAGGTCCACCGGCGTCTCAATTCCGATTGTTTGAGGAAATTTAGACACTGTTTAGCAAATTTCACAAAGTAAGTGTTAGCCACTTCAAAGTATCCTCATTTGGCTTCATCTAATGATAAACACCAGCAATTCAATTACCATCACTTACCTAGGACCAAGACAGCTGCAAGTAAATAATAATACCCCATAGAAACGTTATTCTGAACATAACTTTTTAAAAGGAATAACATAGCTATGAAACAGCTTGGCAGCTTTATGCTTGGCAAGCAGCAGTTGTGACTCGAAGATCTAAAAAAAGATGGTGAGCTTTGAAAAAATGTCTTTTGTATCGGCAAACAATTCCAAGAGAGAAATAAAAATGAGCCTGTTTAGAGTTTTACGTTTTATAATTCTGAAAGGTTCATATGACAAAAGATAAAATAAATTAAAATTAAACTAAGCATCACCTTCTCATCTCCACCACAAGAGCTGCACGACCACCAGAAGTGATTGCCCAGAGACTTGATCCATGGCTGCAGGTCCCGGTTTTCTTTCTTCCTTGCTGCTGCAGTTGTCTTCTTCTTTACACCTAAATAATATATCAAGATAAAAAAGAAAAAGTAAACCCTGTGGAAAAGCCTCGCCAAAGGTCAAATAAAATCACAGTAAAGCCTGAAGTCTACATCTGTTTCACTGATTTCAGTTTTTATAAGCAGAAGTTATACTTTTCCCACAACCTTGAAGATTACAAATTATTCAACACATTGTATAATGTAACAAATAATATTACCTTTTGCAACATGCCATGGGTCAAACTGATGTCTGAGGTCAGGGTAGGACTCCCTCATGATCTTTTGTATTGATGGAGCCAGTGGTACTGTAACAACATCAACACTAACTCCAGAGTCCAGCAGACGATTCAGCCCCCTCTGGAAACCAACAGACGCCACTGCCGGTGAACTTGTGGTCTCTGATACTTGTATTGTTTATTGTAGCAGAAAAGAAAAAACACATGCAGAATGACCCATAAAAGCAGAACATAATGATTTAACACACTAAATGACTTATCTTCTTTGTTGAGTAAACTTAAAAGCTGTAGCAAGTGTATGTAGCACTGTGGCCTGGGGAATCAGATCTGTAGCTGAAAAATAAGTTACTTGCAGGGTGCTGGCAATTATGATTTAATTGGATGATAATATAAGAGTACAACTTATCGCATGTATGATCCATAACTGCAATATCTACCTAGCATCACCACCAATGTCTGCTGCACATGCTGTGTCCTGGAGTTCTGACAAAAATTTTTCTTGCATGTCAGTGTAGGCTTTGTGAACAACAGGTATTAGATAGGTTGATTGCAGTGAATAATATGATGACTTCTTTGGCAGCTGTAAGTTTAGAACATCAGCCCACTCTGCAGTTTCATTCTGTGTTGTCCCAGTAAAAAGAATGGCTGCTGAAAATACCAGGTTATTCTCAGGCATTCCACGGACCTCAGGACAAGATCGCCACGCTCCCTTATGGCCATTGATGCATATCCATTCTATCTTGATCATGGATCCATTAGTGGTTATGTTCTTCTCATCAATAGCTACACCACGTGTGTCAAGTTACAAAAAGTTCCATAAGGGCTGACTCATTTACAATCCACTTCATCTCGGACCAGTCACTGCTCCGTTCTGCTGCGGCAATGCTCATGTCTGAGGAAGATGTTCTTGTGGGGGTACATGCACTACTCAGTGGAAGGAATGTGCTGTCATCTCTTTCACAAGGTGGTTCTATGGAACTCACACTTGTATTCAGTATCTCAGATGCAGCTGCTGAGCTTGGGTTCTCTGACTTTGAACGAAAAAAAAAATAGTCAAGTCAAATACAAAGTAAAGTGGCTTACTGTTTATTGTTTATTTGTGTCCTTAGCTGCAAAATGGATAGGTTTTGAAGAAGTGGTGTTTTTTTTTTTTTTTTTACTACATTATGTGGAACGCATTCATGATTGACAGTTACATGCACTGGGCCTCATTTTTACCTTGTGAAATTGTAGCATCAGTTCATTCTGAAAAAAATGTATGCAAAACAAAATGTAAATTCATGCTTACCTGTGACAGTGTCCAGGTGGGAGGTAGGGCTAGGTATGTACCAGATGATGATGGTTTTGTTCTTGGAACAGTTTCTGCAGGGCTGGTGAGAACCACCTTCAAGTGTTAAATTTCAACTCTAGACTTCAGAGGGGTTTACTGAGGGAGTCCAGAAAACACTTGGTCCACTTCTTGAGGGTTTGAATCAATGTTGGCCTCAGATTGTGTTGTTGCAGCCATTGCAACAGGAGTGCATGCCTTTGAAAACATAAAATCAAATATTGTGTTGTAGATTACAAGACAGATTCTCAATTGTGTTTTACAAACACACACACAAACACACACACACACACCACACACACACACACACACACACACACACGAGAGGTCCCGGGTACAAATCCTGGATGAGCTCCCACTTATGTTACAAACCAGGGGAAAGGGAAGCAACACAAAAACCCATAGGTTATAAGATAAAGCAGTTTATTGTAACTTAAATGAAGGAAAACTGATTAACGATAAAAGGAGAACAAACCAAGGAAGAGGGCCAGTGGGTGCTGTTTAACTCAAAAACAAAATATAACAAAAAGAGGACTCACTAGGAGCTTAACCTACGATCTGACTAGTCAAAAATAAAAGGAAAATAAATTCTGATTATCTAATCTATCTTTTAAAACAAACAAAATGCAAAACAGCACCCACTGGCCCTCTTCCTTGGTTTGTTCTCCTTTTATCGTTAACCAGTTTTCCTTCATTTAAGTTACAATAAACTGCTTTACCTTTTAACATCTTTGGTTACTTTGGTGATCCTTATTATCACAACCACACTTCCACATAGTTGCATAATAACAGTCATGTCATCATATTACATTATGTTATGTAGAAGCTTCACTGGTAAGATGACCCTGAGTGATTTGCTGATCATAACGTCACTAGCTGATTCTTGATAGCCAGTTCGTACATAATACCGTTAGCTTCGAACCAAGTGCTACGCGCCATCTAAGCTAGCTAGTAGCTAGTTGTTCTTACCTGGGGTGCTGGCACAGCAGCAATCTTCAAAACATGTTTCTTCCTCTGTCCTGGATGTGTAGGAACATAATCGTCCTTGTTGAAATGCACACTACACACACAAAGCTTTTTATCATTGCCACTTTAGTTTCAATGTTCAAACCTACCGCAAGATGCCAAAGTTGCCTAATAGCAATGTCTGTGACAGGAAAGCGGTGAAATATATACAGCGAATCAGACAGGTTTTTGTTGCTACAGCCTGGAAAATCATGCACCATTTTTATATATTTTCTTGTGTAACAATATAAATCTCTCTCTAGCTCTCACATTAGCTCTCTCAGGTCGCAGCGGTCACCATCCAAGCGCGTAAACACCGTCAAAAAGCTGATAGAGGGTGCCTGGCTGTCAACAGGCGGCACCGCACAGTGATACGAAGGGAGACTATTTTGAGCGCATATTGTTTTGGAAAGCAAAACGTTTCATTTTTGTGACCTCAGCAAAC